GCCATGGTTTTGGTATCCGCCCCGGTCAGCCCTCGTCCTGTCTATGATTCAGACGTGGTATATTATCTTTTATTACTATTTGTTTCATTTAGTGTTTATGACAATTATGCCGACCAACGTGACATGAATGTTTTTATCTAGGAGGTATGTGAACCGGAAATTCCAACCGACCCTCTTCTCTAGAGGTTAAATTTAATTGAAAAAGATAATAAATACTTGAAGAAAAAATTGAAAAGAATTAAGGAGGACAAGATAGAATTGGAGTTGCATGTTGCCGATGTCGTCGATGATCACAAGATCTAGATGGATGCAATGCGCTTGAAGATTAAAAATATTAGAAAACATGCCATTGATAATGAGGCTTGGTATCATTTTGTTGTTGGATCAATTGTTACCTTAGTTGCGATTATGATGGCATTTGTTGTTGCATTTAAATGTTTTACATAGTTGTATGTTAGTTTCAATGTATGTTTTACTTAGATGCTCTAGAGATCTATATGTTGTTCTATGAGAACTATGTGTGAACTTTATGTATCTATTTGCAGTAATAACATTTGATTACCAATTAATGTACTTTGGTTTTAATGTGATGATGAACTTGTATTAATTTGGTCACTTATGTATTCATGATGTTTTGTAATGGTTTTTAATACACTTAATTATATAATGCACGCAGATGAATCGGCAATGGATGTATGGTGACCGACGCACCTCCGAGTACATTGAGGGTCTCTATAAATTTCTCGAAGTGGTTGAGACAAACAAGCATAATGACTTTATGTATTGTTCATGCCCTGTCTGTGAAAATACGAAGGATTACTCTAACTTCAAAAAACCCTTCACTTGCACCTGCTTGAGAAGGGTTTCATGCCACACTATAATGTTTGGACCAAGCACGGAGAAAGAGGGGTTATGATGGAAGACAACAAAGAAGAAGAGGATGATGACAACTATCCTATGTTCCCTGAATATGGTGATACTGCAACAGGGGAAGCTGAAGATCAAGAGGCACCAGACGATGTGCCAGATGATGATCTTCACCGGGTCATTGTTGATGCACAGAGAGAATGCGAAGTGCAAGGGAGAAGTTGAAGTTCAATCGCATGTTAGAGGATCACAAAAAAGGGTTGTACTCAAATCGCGAAGATGGCAACACAAAGCTCGGAGCCGCACTGGAATTGTTGCAATGGAAAGCAGAGAATGGTGTAACTGACAAGGGATTTGGGAAGCTACTGAAAATAATGAAGAAGAAGCTTCCAAAGGATAATGAATTGCCCGACAGTACGTACGAAGCAAAGAAGGTTGTCTGCCTCTAGGATTGGAGGTGCAGAAGATACATGCATGCCCTAATAACTGCATCCTCTACCACGGTGAGGAGTACGAGAATTTGAACACATGCCTGGTAAGCGGTGCATTGCGGTATAAGATCAGATGAGATAACCCTGGTGATGTTGGGGGTTCCTGCCAAGGTAATGTGGTATGCTCCTATAATACCATGGTCGAAACGTTTGTTCAGAAATAAAGAGCATGCCAAGTTATTGCGATGGCACAAGGAAGACCGTAAGAAAGATGGGAAGTTGAGAGCCCCGCAGACTGGTCGCGGTGGAGAAAAATGGAGAGAAGGTGGGGGGACTTTGCAGGATGGGAGGTTCCATCCCGATAGAGAGAAGGACGAGCTGACAGAGGCCCTCGGGAATCCTGAACACCCTGGACAAACATGAGGCACCTCAGACTCCATTCTGTGCGTGCATGGATTTCCCGACAGCACTGGTTATAGAAGCCAGGAGAGAAAGAAGAAAGAGGAAGCAAGAGAAATATAGAAGATGAATGAAAGATTAGCGAGACTAGAGGAACTTGAGAGCAGCGAGCTACCGACCAACCATCTCAGCGGCACGAAGATCCTTCATTCGACACTGTCCCCGAAGCTATCCCACCATCTCAGCGGAGAAGCAGCGTGGTTTCCACGGAGCTCGTTCAGCCTGAGCTCCTCGCTACCCCGTGGATAGTATCATGGAGAATGAACATTGTGTGCTAATGGCAAAATGCCATAACCTGACCTTGAAGGTGGTGCTCGGCTCTATCTTACCACCTCGAGTTGAGGGAACTTTTCATTTCCGTCCAATTCCTCATGGCTTTGCTATTGTCGGGGTGGATGAAATAATGGACGGATTTGAGGGGCTGGAGCTTGAGTACCCTACAGGTGAAGGGGTTTTTTTTTCTGGAAAATGCCTTAAGGAGTACCTGTGTATGGAGAAAGGAGAACATCAAGCTCCCAAACTGGATGTCGCCTCAGCCGTAGGAGGCCCCTCAGCAGACTCCTCACAGTCCAGCTCAGCCATCTCAGCAGCCTGAGTCGTCTCCGGCGCGTGGGCTGTCTCCGTTACCTCAGCCGTCTCCGGCGGAGGAGGCCCCTCAGCAGAGTCCTCTTATGCCTCAACTGTCTTTGGCACATCAGCGGACTCCGCCTCCTCCTCCGCCTTCCCCGTTGTGTCAGCGGACTCCGCTGCCTCAGCAACGGCGGAAGAGAGCCGCCACCACTCCAACGGCTAGCAGGACAAAAGGCGGGAAGAAATTCAAAGTTGGTCCAAGCATCAGGGCTCCTCCAAAGTTACCATATGAGAGGACCATTGGGGGCTCATCCAAACGGCATGCAACAAATGGCATGGGATCGTCGAGGAGATCGCGACTCGCCCGAAGAGCGGCGCCAGCGTCGAGGATCAGGTATGGCACGCCGGTCTCTCTTTTCTTTTCGCCGTGTGCGCGCTCGTCGATTGATGTTCCTCTGTGCAGCTGTTGCGGATGTTCTCCATTCGCCAGGACAACAGCGACCAAGTGTTCAAGTACCTCCACGTCTTCAAGCGGATCGACAAGTACGAGAAGTGGGCGGATGTCCGGCGCACCCTCGCCAAGGCCAAGGAGACGTACAAGCCCGACACGCTGACGCCGGGCGCGGCCGAGGGGCGCCTGAACGGCAACAAAGGTGCCAAGAAGGGAAACACGTCGAGTCGGCTACCGCACGTGTGCAAGAGTCCATCAAGCATTGCTTCGCTGACGCCAAGACCCGGGTCGCCCAGCGGGAAGAGAAAACTGAGGCGCGGCGGTCAGCGTTGATGACGAACAGCGCCGTCGAGCTCGACTTGCTCTGGACCAACGTCGACTTGCTCCGGACCAACGTCGCCGCGAAGAAGAGGAACACCGACCTGGCTTTCCTGATGGGCGGGGCGGACATGGTCCGGAGCGACGACGAGTAGCTCAAGGTGTGGTACCTAGTGGAGCGCGGCCTCATCTTGAACCAGATGACGGCGACGGCGCCGCCAACTCCCACGCCGTCGCCAATGGCACCGCCAAGCCCGAGCGATGATGCCTCCACGACGCCCAGCAGCACAGAAGCCGCTCCGACGCCGCCCAGCCTGCGCACGCCGACGCCGGAGGCCGACACCGCCCAGCCCGCGCACGCCGACGCCGAAGGCCGACACCGCCCAGCCCGCGCACGCCGACGCTGGAGGCTGACACACCGCCATTTGATGCATTGCCTACGCGTCCTTTCTTTTTGCACGCCAAACTTTTCATTTGATCGCCGAATTGTGGCAAGTTCATCGCCGAACTATGGCAAGTTAATTGCCGGACTCGTGGCGTTTTTTAAAGCGGGAATAGACCAAGTTTGAATTTGCGACACCTTGAGGGCGGCACCTGGGACGTGACTGTGACCTAGATCGTTCCCAGGGCCTAAAAATTGCCGGGCGAGCGTTCGAAAGAGCGCCCGAACAAGCAGGAGACGTCGATGCCAGGCGTGGCCCAGGGGCGCCCGGATGGCAACAAAGGTGCCAAGAAGGGGAAACACGCCGAGTCGGCTACCGCACGTGTGCAAGAGTCAATCGAGCATTGCCTCGCCGACGCCAAGACCCGGGCTGCCCAGCGGGAAGAGAAAACCGAGGCGTGGTGGTCAGCGTTGGTGACGAACAACGCCGTCAAGCTCGACTTGCTCCGGACCAACGTCGACTTGCTTCAGACCAACGTCGCCGCAAAGAAGAGGAACACCGACCTGGCTTTCCTGATGGGCGGGGCGGACATGCTCCGAAGTGACGACGAGCATCTCAAGGTGTGGTACCTGGTGGAGCGCGGCCTCATCCTGAACCAGATGACGGCGACGGCGTCGCCAACTCCCACGCCGCCGCCAACGCCGCCGCCAAGCCCGAGCGATGATGTCTCCACGACGCCCAGCAGCACAGAAGCCGCTCCGCCGCCGCCCAGCCCGCGCCGGAGGCCGACACCGCCCAGCCCGCGCACGCCGATGCTGGAGGCTGACACACCGCCGTTTGATGCATTGCCTACGCGTCCTTTCTTTTTGCACGCCGAACTTTTCATTTGATTGCCGAATTGTGGATAGTTCATCGCCGAACTGTGGCAAGTTGATAGCCGGACTCGTGGCGTTTTTTAAAGCGGGAATGGACCAAGTTTGAATTTGCGACGCCTTGAAGGCGGCACCTGGGACGTGACTGGGACCTAGATCGCCTCCAGGGCCTAAAAATCGTCGGGCGAGCGCCTGCCTATGTATGCGCTGGGAGCCGAACGAGCGGAGATGCTCTAAGACGGCGCGTTCACGTTGACGAGCTCCTCACCGTCATTGACCGCAGCGGCAAGATGTGAAACCCTACCACCAATTGTGATGGCCGTAACAAAAATGTCAGATTCCAAAATAAAAAGAAAATCTAAACCAGGTCAAATCTTGCTAATCGTTGCTTAAAAGGGTAGAATAGTGATTTCAGCCGGCACTGGAGTAGAAAAATAACTTGGCGCTTGGTGATAGTACGACCAAAACGAACCCTCCTGACAAGTGACTGGATTTGTTTTTGGATTTCAAGGTGCTCTCTGACCGGCCGCCTCCGGCGACCGAGAGGGAAGCTCCCAAGGTCAGATCTAAGCTCATCCATCTCTTGTCTCAGTCCATTCTACCAAAATCCAGCGCAGCAGCACAGCAGCCGTCGGCGGAGGTAGCAGCCATGGAGATGGTGGTGGGCGCGTCGGAGGCGACGATGAAGTCGCTGCTGAGCAAGCTGGGCGGGCTGCTGGCGCACGAGTACGCGCTCATCCGCGGCGTCCGCGGCGACATCCAGTACATCAACGACGAGATGGCCAGCATGCAGGCCTTCCTCGTCGACCTCGTCCCCCGGGGCCACGACAGCCGGATGAAGGACTGGATGAAGCAGATCCGCGATGTCACCTACGACATCGAGGATTGCGTCGACGACTTCGCGCACCGCCTCCCCCACGACCCCGCCGCCGGCGGCGACGTCTGCTGCGCCTTCATCGTCTCCCCGGTCTACGAGATCTGGACCTGGCGGCCTCGCCGCACCATCGCCTCATCCATCGCCGAGCTCAAGGTGCGCGCGCAGCAGATCGGGGAGCGCCGGACCAGGTACGGCGTGGAGAACCCCAGGACCTTGGAGGGCGAGTCCGGCGGAGCTCTCCCCAAATTCGAAACCGCCGAGTACCAGCACACGACCCTTGCGCTCGTTGGCACCAAGAAGCCCGTCGGAGTGGAAGAGGAGATGAAGGAACTCGGCAGGTGGCTGACATTGCAACAGCCATCTGCCCACGATTCCTCCTCCTCCTCCTCCTCCTCCTCCTCAGACCCTGCATCCCAAACGGATGCTCTGAAGCAAGACCACGCCGTGCTGTCCATCGTCGGCTTCGGAGGGGTCGGCAAGACGACCATCGCCACGGCCTTGTACCAGGCATACAGCGATCAATTCGACCGCCGGGCGACGGTCACCGTGTCGCAGAGCTCTGACATTGACATGATACTGCTGACCATACTCAGTCAAGTCAAGCCGCAATCCAAAGATGATAACGAGCAGCAAGGCAGCAACGGTGGTGGCCCCTCCGACAGGAAATCCCTCATGGCTACCATTGGAACAGTATGGGGTACTATCATGCACAAGGGCCGCAAGGACGATGAGCAGCGAGGTGGCGGCACCTCTCAGACAACAAAAGATCTCAAGCAGCACTTGGAGGAGCACTTGGTGAAAAACAGGTACAACATACTTTCATGTTGAGTTTGTTTGTTGGTTGATTAGTTCATCGCTAAATTGTAGAGTTGCATAGTAATACGCAGGAACATAGAATCATTGTGAATCACTAGGGGATAGTGCTCCCTATGCAAATCATACATGTTATTAAAAAGAAGTAATCAGTTGGGGAGGAATAAAATGTTCCAAATGAGAGAATCAGTTGTTATTTGACCATAGACACAAGCAACTTGTGGACGATATTGGACATTTAATCAAGATTGCAAAAGCTTTATATGTAAAACAAGAAGAATCGGTTGCCGGTTTAATGCTTCATTTTTGGCATAACTGAGTTACTGTGTACTTATTTCCTTGCTGTTGATATTTCATTCGACATCCATTGTATAAAAGAGTTTATTTAATATTTACTCTTTTTCTTCTCATCGCAGTTACTTGCTCTTAGTTGATGATGTGTGGTCTGCACCAATGTGGAAGAAGATAAAGAATTCATTGCCTAAAAGTAATAAAGGCAGTAGAATAATAGTTACCACACGCTTTCAAGCTGTTGCCAATGAGTGCAGAAGATATAAAGGAGATCACATTCATAAAGTTGTGGTACTTAGTGACAATAAGCCAAAAGAATTATTCATGGCCGAATCTGGAATTAGCGTGGACAAGCCTAAAGAAAACCAGGAGAAAATTCCAGCCAGACTCTGGGAAATGTGCGGGGGTCTGCCATTGGCCATTGTTACCATGGCTGGTTATGCTGCTTGCAATCCAGACAAACTGGTGGACAAGTGGGATGAGGTTTGCAGTACACTGGTACCAGTCTCCGGGAAAGCTCTTGGCCAGGACGGAGTCACCAGGATACTCAGTCACTGCTACAATGATATGCCTGGTGAGATCAAGACTTGCTCCTTGTATCTGTGCATATTCCCAAAGGGCCGCAAGGTCAGCAGGAAGCGGCTGACGAGGCGATGGCTAGCAGAGAGATTTGTCAGTGAGAAAGATGGGTTGAGTGCTGAAGATGTCGCAGAGGCATACTTCAATCATCTCGTAAGGAGGAAGATTATACGGGCTGTGGAGCACAACAGCAACGGCAAGGTGAAGAGCTACCAAGTCCATGACATGGTTCTCGAGTACATCGTATCCAAGGCAAGTGAAGAAAACTTCGTCACCGTGGTCGGTGGCCACTGGCTCATGGCGCCACCTAGCAACAAAGTCCGCCGTCTGTCCCTCCAAGTTAGCGACACGAAACACAAGAAATCAATGGAGAGCATGAATTTAACTCATGTCCGATCTCTGACCATGTTTGGGAGCTTGACCCAACTGCCTTCTAATTCATTGAAATTTGGAATTGTGCAAGTACTGGACCTTGAAGGTTGCAAGGATTTCAAACAACATCATGCTGAGGAGATATGCAAGATGCTTCTACTCAAGTATCTAAGCCTCCGAAGGACAGACATTGACAAGATTCCCAAAAAAATTGGAAAGCTCCAGTATTTGGAGACTCTTGACATAAGAGAGACCAATGTCACAGAGTTGCCGAACACCATCTGCCTGCTTGAACGAGTGGAGAACATACTTGGTGGGAACAAAAGAACACGGAAGGCACTGAAACTTCCCGAAGATCTGAAGAAGGAAACAATGAAAAGCCTGCGTATACTGTCAGGTATTGAGATTGTCGAGGGACAAGGCACAGTGGCAGACTTTCATCATCTGACAGATCTGAGGAAGCTTACCATTTACAGGCTCAACCTCAAAAAGGGTAGTGAGCTTTTTGGAGAACTAAGCTCCTCGATCGAGTACCTTGGTGGCTATTCTCTCCACACCCTGGTGATCGACGATGAGTCGTCTGAGTTTCTGATATCACTAGGTGCTCTCTCTTCCCCTCCAAAGTTTCTCAATGCTCTAGAGCTGTCCGGCAAGCTGGTTGAGCTCCCAAAATGGATCACAGAGCTGGATGCCCTCACGAAGCTGACCCTCTCGGTGACGGTGCTCACTGCTGATGCTTTGCACGTATTGAGCAAGCTCAATACATTGTTCTCGCTCACATTTTCGCTCACTGCAGCAAAGCAGGACCCAGAAACAATCTTCATCATCGAGGAGAACAAAGGGCGCTCTGATGGGCAGATAATGGTTCCAACTGGTGGATTTGAGAATCTCAAGCTTCTTCGCTTCTTGGCTCCTTTCGTGCCGCGGCTAAGCTTTCCAAAAAATTCGTTGCCGAAGCTCGAAAGGCTTGAGCTTCGGTTCAGCATGTTTGAGGGACTGTATGGCTTAGAAAACCTTGCAGAGCTCAAAGAGGTGCATCTCAGAGTGCATGACAAAGCAGACGAGACTACAAAGTCGTTGGTAGAAGGTATGGCAACTGCAGCCAGGGAAGGTAACAAGTGCCCTAGAATTATCGTCGATCAGTATCACGGGCGAGAGTGAGTGACCCAGATGCCAACCTATGTGGTTATATTCATTTATGTTTACTAGTTAATTGCCCGTGCGTTGCACCGGGACCATATTTTTTCCTTTTCACTGTTAAATCTCCACCTCCCCCTCTCTTTTCTCATCCAATGTATTTCCATGTTATTTAGCGCCAAACTATATAAGCCAAACAGGGTTATACTTGTTCTTTTCACCCTTCAGCCATATAGTGCCTCCCATCTACTCCCTCCGTTCCAAAATAGATGACCCAACTTTGTACTAACTTTGTACTAAAGTTAGTATAAAGTTGCATTAAAAAAAGTTAGTAAAGTACAGAGTTAGTACAAAACTGGATCATCTATTTTGAAACGGAGGGAGTAATTGAGTGGTAAACACAAGCCAACTCCAACTCTTTTATTTTCTGCCTTATGCAACCGACTTCTCCAGCTTCTCCAATTCCCTGCTTCAATTAGTTCAGTAATATAATTCAAAGTGTTTCAGTTGTAATTCTTGAAGGCAAAGTGTGATGGTCAAAGTTAACAATTAGTTCAGTAATATAATTCAAAGTGTTTCAGTTGTAATTCTTGAAGGCAAAGTGTGATGGTCAAAGTTAACAATTAGTTCAGTAATATAATTCAAAGTGTTGCAGTTGTAATTCTTGAAGGAAAAGTGTGATGGTCAAAGTTAACAAAAGTGTGTGGGAGTGCATTGTATATATATTTTACAAAATATATAATGATCTCCAGATGAAGGTCCACATAGTAATAAAGCATAGCTATTCCACAAATTTCATCGAAGGAGAAAAGAAAATGGAACATGTAGTTCAAATCTAAACATCTTTAGTAGGCTATACAAACAGACATGAAAGTCATGGATGGTTATCAGTCTCTTGGGTTGTCCTTATGGCCTGACTTGTCTTCGTTGATTTGGGTGTGCCCGTGGTCTTCGGCCGAGTTACTCTTGTTGGGGTGTCTTTGCGATGTATTGGTGGTTGTTAGGTGTTGGGTTTGGTTGTCAGGTTGCAAGCCCTGAGAGTAGTCTACGTGTGGTTGGTCTGTATCGGTTTTCGCCCGGTTTTTCGTTAATTAACTGGGCAATTCTCTTCTGCTTAATTAATCGATGAGGCAAATCTTTTGCCTCCATTTCAAAAAAAAAGTCATGTAGCAACACAGTTGTGCAACTTGATCGATTTTGACTAAAGAACGCCTTCCCGGTTACCCATCCCGATGTCCACGATCAAGATCACACTCGCTCTCATCAATGGCCACCTGCTGCCACAGACTGGCACTTCCCACACCATGTCGCTCCTACATGCCACCCCAGGGACGCCGGTGGCCACACCACACCACACCTGGACGTTACTTTCCCCACGGTCGCAGACGCAGCTACCATGAGGCATCGTGCTTCAGCAGCCTGCTAGCCTCGTTATCGTGCCGACAATCAACTTTAAAAATTAAACCCAGTAGAAAGTGTACAAAGCACATTCTAGTCAACCCTTCAGTAGCATTTTTTTTTTCAAAATTCAGGCGGTGATGCCTGATAGCTCCAAGTAGCAGCTTGTACAACATCAAAAACAGTTACAAAAAAGTAATTGAAGGTTGCACAAATAATGTCAAAAAGGCATGCACGCTTCTAGAAGAAAAGTCAACACTGATGCATATGCCAGTTTAGTACTATAATTAGTAATCTTGTGTGCAAATGAAAAAAACAGAAGTATGACACCTAACATTGTTCTCTAAACTGAATTGAAGTAAATGCATTACCATCCACTTTAAGCTATCCACCTTGAAAAAATTGTTGTTCACAGCTAAACCTTTTACTCAGGAATAAAATAATACACACATACATACAAATTACTTTCCATTCCATCACGAAGCATGTTCCGTAATAAGTGACTGCTACCTGCATAAGGTGAATCGACAAACCATGGTGCACAAAAATCTCATAATTGGTCAGTTGACAAAAGAAGTCACCAGATAACCTACTGCTCGCCAAGCAGATTTGGAGCATGAAATTTTCCCCTCATTAAAGCACCATGGAGAAGAGTAAATTCATAAAATACTCCTACCTAAATAAAATCAGTAATTTGATCAACAAAACGGGAATGGAGAAAAATATCTCAACGACTGCGAACAATTGATCAAAAGGCATGACCTACAGTGGATAGACTGAGGTCTCAGCAGTGTGCGTATCCGCCCAGTAAAATGGCAGCAACATGCCTACTCCCTGAAATCTTGGAAGAACAACAAACCTGAAAAGTTGAAATCTGGAGTAAAGAACATATCCAAAGAGTTCACAAACAGAAAGGAGAAAATTCGATGTTCAGTACAAAAACAAAATAGGTCACTGTATCATGAACTTCATATCTCCAAATCGTAGGAAGATCATGTGCTGGACTACTCCTGCAAGGACGCCCAGCAAGTTGAACCTCTTACTTCTAAAGAAATGAACAAATCA